TGCTTGGAAACCTTAAGAAATGTATATAATTGTTTCAATATTATTAAATAATATAATCGTATCTTCAGATATATTTACCTATTTACTTCTACCTTATTATAGATCCTTAAATCTCAAGGTGTCCAAATGTATGCTATGATTTTTTTTATTTCCCTCCTAACACCAGGGCCATATGGGAAGTATTATAAACTTATTTGTGCTATACTCACAAGCGCAACTGTGGCTAAAACCACCCTGGGGGTGGCTGCCTCGATGTAAAGACGTAGTAATGGACGCTCCGGCTGGCGGTTCTGTTCGCCTGGTGCACTAAGGTTGCTCCTAGTTACGACGTAACTGTTAACCGGTTTGGCCCGTCGTGCGGACTGCTCTCGCATGTTAGCGTTATGTAATGGCCTCGACAGTGGTAACGTCAAAGAACCCAGCCCATTTCCATTTCCGCGGGTGGGCGGGCATGGGGCTGGCTGGCTGGTTTGGCTGGGCCGGCCATGCACTATACTCCGCCCCGTAGATCACGCCCTAGTGGGCGACATGCGCAGTGGCTGCGCCGGGCGATAGGCCACCCCCTCGTATTCCTGTTCGCCTGGTAATCCTTGGGCGTTACCTTAAGAAGGGTTAAACCGCTGATGGACACGTGTCTGTCTATTTGAATGTGCTGCCGCTGCTGCTGCTGCAGAGGTTCTTGGCCGGGTTCTTGGCAAAAATCACAAAGAACCAGTCCGGCAGTGCGACGCTCGTTTTGGGCGCCACCCAGTGCCCGCACTCGCTAATTGAAACGCTCCGCACAACGCGGAGGCTGCCGGTGCCCGTGGCCCACCCACTTGGGCGGTCGGTATCACGACCCGCCATCCGCAGGGGCGTAGTCCCGCCGACCGAGTCCCTGTTGCAGTGGTTGCCAGTGATGCGAAAGGTGGGGATTAAAAATGGCTAAATAGGTTTGGAACTTAAGGGTATTGCTAGTTTATTTAATACTTGTATTTTTCTACATACACATAAAAAAGGTATTGCTAGCTTATTTAATATTTGTATTTTCCTTACATATATTTTCCTTGCTTTAACAAAAATAATTCATGTTTACTCAACTTTGGTTATATATAAAAAATACTGGGATATTATATGTAGTTTACAAAAAAATATTTTCGCCTTATTTTATTATCTTTTATTTATATTCTAACACTTATTATTACATGCAAAAATAAAGTCTTAATTCATTAAGACATTTTTAAGACATTAAAAATTACCAAGAAATTAGAAAAAGATTTTTTCAGATCTATATTAGCCGGAAAAAAACCTAAATTGGCATTTCTGAGGGTTGTAGACTCGCAGAGGACACGCCACTGCCATCGAAACCCACCCCTAAAGTAAACTGTGGCAATGTCAAGCGACACACCCCCCGCACACAAACACACACACGCTGGCATCCGAGTCCTTTCGATTTCAACTCATACGGGGTGTCCTCTGAATCACACATTCCACACTCCTCCTTTAGTTGCTGTGCGCCTGGTAGTAGACATCAAACGGAATTTCCTTTCGTTTGACTGTAAGTTTTGCTTGAGAGCATGGCATATCATTTTTAGTATATATAAAAAAAGAAACAATTCTAACAGAAAAACAAAATCAATTATCTTAGCAACGTCTATTAAAATATTTTACTAATTATACAATATAAAAAAAATTAACGAATTTAAATATTTTTAAGAATTAAAGAACAAAAATTGTATTTAAATATTATGAATGCAAAACGCAAAACCAATAGGTCGCCAATTTGATAAATCAACTACAAAAGGATTTTTTAATATAATATTTTTAGTTTTTGTTTATAATTACTTTATGTTTTTAAGTCAGCTGTTAACCATTAACGATCCAATAAACAAAATAAAAAAAATGGTACATTACCGAAGTTAATGGCGCCCGTACAACACACATTTATTAAATTTGTTTTTATATATATTCCTGCACTTTCTGGGAAATTTTACATTATTAGTCTTGCAAAATTAATGATAGTTTTCAATAAAATGTTTTTCGTTGGTGATCTGGCAACTACAAACATTTAAAGTTCCCGCCAAATTAGTATGACCAGCTGGCGAAATGGCAGCCTGCTCTGGCAACTTCCTAAAGGCATTTCGGTATTATGGGCGCGAAAGAAGGCCGTCACACACCAACGGAGTAAAATAAATAAAAATAGCCGACGAAACCCTTTGGAAACAATGGAGCTTACCCATTTCCACGTACGCGAGAGCAACCAGACTGTTTGAGCAGCTGGCCAGAGTGCCGGCTGCGCGATCCAACTCCCACGGGAAACCCTCTCCGTCGGATCTCCAGAACAGAACACCTCCAAACGCCAGACGCACCACACGCACATCTGGCCACCGAAACCGATTGTAAACAAACCAGCGATATGGTAATTAGCCGATTCTGATTTCGTGTGTGCGAATCATGCAAAAACTAGTTTCAGCACTGCGTCGGTTGTTGAACTCTTGACACTTGACTGAGAATAGATAGATAATCGCCCGAGGGTTCAATAAGAACCGGCGAATCAGTCGAGTCAGCAGCACTGGAAATTCAATCCGAGAGAATCCACGAAACGCGCCACATGTATGTCTACAAGATGGGTCGAGTTCCTGAGCTGGTTATATGGTATGAAACAACCTTACTATTCAGTCTATTATATAACTATAACCTCCTCCAATCTCGTCTACAGCTCCTTCATTGTGGGCAGCCTGCTGGTCATACACTTCTTCTCGGATCTGCTGAGAGCCTCTTTGGGCGGCTACTACAACAAGGATGTGACTCTTTCCCAGCTGGTCGAGTCCCAGAGCTCGGATTACGCCTGGTTTCTCAAGCTCCTGGTCAATTGCTTTGGCTATAGCTGTGTCTTTGTGCCGGGCTACTTGATCTACAAGTATGTGGGTAGGATCAACTACCTGGAGAGGGGCAACAAGACTTTCCTGCACAGGGCCATCAACATGTGCATCACGGGCAACTCTGGATACGATCCACAGGATGGTGGAGGCAATTCCGCGGACAAAGAACGACCGGCGGCATCTGCGCCCGCCAAGCGAACAAGCTCCCAGGAGGCAGTTCAGCTTTTTTGGTGCTTTGGCGGCCTGATGATCTCCTATCTCACTTGGGGCGTGCTGCAGGAGAAGATAATGACGCAGCACTATCTTAACTTCGCAGGAGAAAGTGCCAAGTTCAAGGACTCTCAGTTTCTGGTGTTCTCCAACCGATTGCTGGCCTTCCTCGTGGCCCTGGCCTATCTGCAATGGCAGCCCTCTCCTGTTCGTCATCGGGCTCCGCTGTACAAGTACTCCTACGCCTCCTTCTCAAACATAATGAGCGCCTGGTTCCAATACGAGGCCCTGAAGTTTGTCAACTTTCCCACCCAGGTGCTGGCGAAGTCCTGCAAAATCATACCCGTGATGCTAATGGGCAAACTCATGTCCAAGGCGAAGTACGAGAGCTACGAGTATGTGACGGCCCTACTCATCTCCTTGGGTATGGTATTCTTCATGAGCGGCTCCTCGGACAGCAGCAAGGCCAGCGGAGTGACTACACTCACGGGCATCTTCCTGCTCTCTATGTACATGGTCTTCGACAGCTTCACCGCCAACTGGCAGGGATCGCTCTTCAAGGGCTACGGCATGACACCGCTGCAGATGATGTGCGGCGTTAACCTGTTCTCCTCCATCTTCACTGGAGCCTCGCTCTCGATGCAGGGCGGATTCATGGATTCTTTGGCATTTGCCACAGAGGTAGGTGGATAAAGATTAAGAAGAAAATGACCAAATCGAAAGAAAATTTGATTTATTTGTTCTTTATAAGTTGAACAACCTAAAATCGGCACTTGTTTATAACTAAGATGTTTGGCTTGGCCCAACTGTATACATTATTTGTATACACTTTGGCATTTTATAGGTTTCTCGGTCCAGTAGATATATAGTGTACTTTCCCAGATGGGTCCTACCTCACTTTCTTTTTATTTATTTTATTCAGCATCCGAAGTTTGTGTTTGACATGGTAGTGCTTTCTGTTTGCTCAGCGGTTGGGCAATTGTTTATCTATCACACAATTGATGTCTTTGGCCCAGTTGTGTTTACCATAATAATGACTCTGCGTCAGGTGAGTTATTTTTCTGAAAGAGGAATGGGGTTTGTTTATTCAACTGTATGATCACGAGGAATTTTATTCTGGTCCCTACAGGCCGTGGCCATCATGCTCTCCTGCTTCATCTACCAGCACAGCATTTCGCTGCTGGGCATCTTTGGTGTTCTGATCGTCTTCGTGGCCATCTTCCTGAGGGTCTACTGCAACCAGCGCTTGAGGGCCATACGCAAACGGGCCGAGGCTAACAAACCCAAAATGGCAGTCTAGAAATGGGACGTGGACAAGCCTCAAATACAACGCACAGACTTCCTAGCTCAGCCTAATTATTGTACTGATAGTAGCTCATGGTAGATTCCACTTCCGCAGGTCAAAAAGAGGCTGCTTGGACACCCCAAAAGTTGTACAGTTTTGTTTTCCTAGTTCTAAGTTGAATGTATACTTATACTAACCGTAAGCGTAGACGCCTAACGATCCATATGTGTGCTTAAATAAACTTTTTATATGCATAGGTACTGCAAAAAGTATAGTTTTAATAAGAAATTGTATTTATTAGTTTATTTATAATATTCGATTTGTTTTAATAAGTCAGACTACTCACTTCGCTATGTTAACCCATTTCTGAGAACTCACGTTCGATTTGCTAATGTTTTTTAAAACCATTTTTGGTAAATTGTTCGTCTTTAAACAGCTTTAAAATGTCTTGATTTCACTTAGCCAAATTTGATTATTGACTCCAATATTGATGAGATGATTCATAGTTTTGTTTCTTTTTTATTGGAACCTAATATATTTACAGCAACAATATATTTATGTCATTTGTGGACATCTTTTTTGATAAGATATTTATAGCAATACAGAGCGTTATAAATCTACCCGTTTACTTTTCCTACAAAATTAATTGTCTAACATTGTAAAAACATTTTGATTAATGTGAAAAGCATCCGTGCATCCCCGCCAACCTAATTGGCCTGGCTCCCATATTAGCGGCAGTTGGTGCAGTCGTCAAGCTCGACATTGACCCACTTTCGGGTTACATTTTTGGCAGAAACGTGGTTTTGGCCAAAAAACAGCTTTGGGTGAGAGCTTCCACCGCTCGGTTCAGGTCAATGCACATGAGTCGCCGAGTGTAACATGGTTTTTTCTTCGCCATTGTTGTGCCATGTGGGCGATTATACTGATGATGATGAGGCTGGCTATGCCGGTGGCTCGAGTGGGCGGCCTGAATTACCATATCAAAACAATGCCCTGGAAAAATTCGAGCCAATAAAAAAGGGCATTATGCAATATCTAGCCGGTATCTGGCTGCCTTCTAAGGGAATAGCAACCAATTTGCCAAATGCGAGTTGGATTTTTTTCGCAAACGGGCAAGGTGATAAGTTGGGGCGTGCTCCGCATTAGAGGATTAGTTTGTGCCCATCCCGCCGAGCGTGCAGAAGTCATTCAGCAATCGAATCGCGTTCCCAACATGCAATTGTTCCTTCTACTCCTTCTGGGAGCCTTGGGCTATTCGTTGGCCTATCAACGCAGCTACAGTTACGAGTATCCCCGCAGAAGGGCCTATTCACCATCGTACTCCAGCAATTCGTACAGCTCCCTAAGCGGTCGAAAGGCCAAGAAGGAGATCACCACCAATAAATCGGACAAGGAGAATGCCAAGTTCGCAGGGGCCTCCAATCAGGAGTTGGACGACGTGGGTGATGAACGCACCCTGCTGCTTAAAAAGAAACTCAAGAGGTTGGCGAGGCCCTACCTGGGAGGATATGGTGGATACGGCGGATACGGAGGATATGGTGGATATGGCGGTTATGGAGGATACGGCGGTGGTCCCTGCTCTCCATTTGGCCGCGATGCCAAGGGCGGGCAGAAGGATCCCGATGAGCAGGGTCGCTTTCTGTTCGACGTGAATGTGGTGAAAGTCTATCCGGGAGGTTGTCGCGGCTATGGAGGAGGTGGACTCGGAGGATTTGGTGGCCCCGGCGGAGGCCTCCTGTCAGATCCCCTGCCACCTGTTCAACCCATTCCAGTGCCAGTGCGTCCTTATGCACCCTTTGCCACCTGGCTGTCGCTCTTTGCCCCGGGAATTTTGAACTCTGCAACGGTGCCCGGGGTACCAATAAGAGATCCCCTCCGGGATCCCATTCGCCCCCCTGGGGATGCGCAGAGCGATCCTGAAGTGGATCCCAACTATGCGGCACCAGTGCGACGACCCGTTCCCAATCGTGTGTATTACGATTCTGCCGGAGCGGTAAGTTAAAAGAAAATAACTATATCCTCAAATATAATATATATATTTTCTCCTATTCTAAGCCTCCTGTGACCCCTGCTCAATTGGTTGGAGGCGTGGCCACTACGGTAAATGGTATCATTCAGCAGTTGACTGGTCAAGTGCAGCCAGTTTACCAAACGGGAGGTTATCGGTCCAGGGATCAGCGGAGCAGTTATGGATAGTCGTTTAAATTCGAGTTTTTATATAGCGATATGTATATTTTTAGTGTAAATAGTTTTTAAGGAATAATAGATCGACTGTTCTTTCTTATAACAGAATATACCTATATAAGAATACATAAATCTTATGATTTTGACATTTGAATTCAGTTCGGCATCCAGCTTGGATTCTAGGGATATCCTGTGGGCCTCCTGCCTTGATTGAACAGCCAAAAGTTTGATCTGAATAACTTCTATCTTGCCCTCAATTGTAAAAACTTTCCTTGCATGGGGTTCATTGCTTTAAGGCAATATTTTCCACATTGCGCAGGAGAACCTTTCAGTATGCTCGTGAACATTATCCTGGGGAGCTTCTTTTGATCCTTGTAGAAACAGGATAACAAAGAAGCATAGAATGTAGAAAGCCAATTTAATTAAACCGAAATAATTAAAACGATTCACGTCAGAAGCTTTAAGAAACTGAAGATGAGCCATTTGTTGAAAGACGATCCATCAGTAATCAGTTATCTTGTTGTTCTGCTGAACGCGGCCATTACCTCCCAGAAAGATTAAAACAGGGAATTCCCAAGACAGTTTCCAGGCGATGGATTAGTCAGGCCTGATCATAAATCTCGGATCTGTGGCCATTAAATTTATGCACGTCGCGTCTACTTCATAAAAATCAGCGAGAGAAGAGCTACAAAGGCAGCGCCAAGGACAATATTCCCAGCAGAGAAACCGGATTTCGAGAGTCTTAAACTGAGCTTATTATTTCTGGTTTATGTTTTTTTTTGTTTGTGTATTTTACAATCTACAAAGTGCGAATCACAAGTACTTCACTAGCCAGGTGGTGAGATTTAGGAGCTTTACTTGCCGAAAAAGCCACCGCCGCCATAGCCACCGCCTCCGTAGCCACCACCATTGTAATATCCATTGGAATACTGCGACTGGCTGTACTGGCCGCCATAGGAACCGCCCTGGTTGTAGTAGGAGCCACCACCCGGGTAGAATCCACCACCTCCATGGTGGTGCGGCCTGTGTCCGAACCCGGAGTAACCTCCTCCTGGATAGTAGCCACCTCCGTAGCCGGGATAGCCGGAGTATCCGCCATAGCCACCATATCCGCCCGGATAACCACTGGCATAGCCACCGGGAAAGCCGCCGCCTCCTCCGAATCCGCTATACAGGCCACCACCCACTCCAATGCCCGCACTCAGGCCCACACTGCCTCCAAATCCTCCACCCAGAAGGCCCAAGGTGCGACCTTCGGCCTTGACGGGCGCCGCCTGACCTTGACCGGCGATCAGCAGAAGAGACAGCATCTGTGGAAACAGCAAATCAATTATATCCATCCCAATCGGATCGGTGAAATAGCAGTCCGACTTACACAACTCACACGAAGCACAAACATTGCGATTACGAGGGCTTCTTGGTCGAAACTAAATTGCAATTGTGGAGTGCTCGCCGCTTTTATACCGCCTTTAAGCCGCCGCTTCAATCTGGCCAAGAAGCTCAAGTACGCGCCACGCATCGCCAAGTGATTCTACGCAAATTGCAGAACAAACACGGCGAAAGCGAAACCAGTTTGTGACGAAATCTCGGAATCCCCCAGCAATTCGAGCAAGAGACAATTTAGCTGGCGATGCTTCACTGGGCCTCAGAACGCGTTAATTTTCTGAAGGCACAGCCCCAAAAACTAAATTATCGTTGTTGTTTTTGAGGGTTACCTGCGGTTCCCCTCCGATCAAGATCGTGGAAAACCCAATAAAAATAATCACTGAAGCGATGGCATACTACAATCACCCGGCGATTTTCAAGACCAACTAGAGAAGACTCAAATATAACGATTAAATTGTACTCTAACGCACAGATGACGCTGCAACTTTAGATAAAAATACCAAATAAAATTATTTGAAATATAATTATACTTTTAGTTTTTATTATCTATCTATAATCTTAATCGTTTATATATCTTAAATCGTTTCTTAATAAAATTAATAAATAAGTAGTTTATATTATATCCTAAATATACGGCAAAATCAAAAGATTCTTGATTTAAAAAAAATTTCTCCTTTTAAGGGTATTTAACACATCCACTGCACAGACATCATGCAAAACGAATGACTTAGACAACAAACTTCAGCGAAGAACGTGCAGCGAAGCAGGTCGGGATGAATGATATGGCCGGCCCGCATTTGTTTGGTTCATTAGCACTTGTTACTGCTGCTATTCCGGCATATCTAACTACATATATGAAAAACTAGATGTCTGATATATGGATGTGCACAACTTCTTTTGTTTATTCTGCTCAATTGTTACGCCTTCACTTTCGTTTTCAGTTTATTCACCTTAAGTTGACGTCAGCGGAGTTACCAAAGTGAGACCAACCCACATCTTATCATAGCTAGTCAGGAAATTGTAGTTAGATCCGTTGACAGCGTGGTAAAAAAGTGAGGATGTGAGAATTTGGTAGATGTACTTAGCTGAATTTATCAAGGTTTTTCGAGGGTTGCAAGGAATTTCAATTATGTTATAAACAGAAAACATGTTGTAGTTAAATAAGGGTTCTTAATTATTTTTTACATTAAATATTGTATTATTTTATTATTTTTAATATGACTTATTCCCAGATATTAAATATACTTGTGGACTCCCAAAAATTCACCTTATTAGGACTGACTAAGGTTAATGAACCACAATAAGTATTTACAATATTCACAGTTCTATAAGCCAAGCTCCAAGTGACTCGGTACTAATGATTATAGTCTCGCATTTGTTCTATAATTATGCTAAATCTCATTATTGTAATTACTGCGAAGTTTACTTCCGTTTTTTAGCGACTATAAGAATGGCAAACTTTGATCAGTTGCCATTGAGTTGTTTGCCAGCCATGAAGGTGGGAGTACATTAAAGTTTTATCTTCACAGACTAACGCACTAATTTGGATTCTTTAAAAACGTTGCAGTACCTAACATTGTCTTTCCTGTTGAGCTGCCTGTTGGCCGTTGTACTGAGTGCCCCGCAGTTTCCAGGATCAGGATTTGGTTACGGATTTTCACCCTATGGAGGATACGGAGGATATGGAGGGAGCTATTCTTCAGCTAGCGCCGCAGCGAGCAGCAGTGCAGGAGGATATCAAGGGGGATACGGATATCCTGGATACGGGGGCTATGGAGGATTCGGCGGAGGATATGGCGGTGGCTATCAGCAGCAGTACAATCAGTTCAGCAACTACAACAACTACGGATCTTCCGGCTACGGAGGCTATCCATTCGGCAGATGAGTTGGGAAAAAACAACGCGTAGCTGCTGGAAATTTCTGCCCCTGTTTTGTTTGATTTCTTTATTTGGCTTTTAATGTGATGGAGGTCAATAAAACGTAAATACCCAAAATGATTCATCAGAGTGTGCATTAATTTTTCTATTTGCATGTTTGCTAACAGATTTCACTTAAAATGCGGAGCATACATTTCGAAAAGGTGATCTTATTTCTAATTTTTTCTGGCTTCTATTCCAACACATTTTGTTGGCACGTTTCCCATTGACATTCATTGGTCTTCAGCTCATTCATTTTCAACATTTCTTCTCGCATACCCCCTTTTCACTCTTTTCGCTCTCAAAAAACCTGAAATTTTCAGGGGCAAATCATGTGCATAAGGCAAATATAAGCCACTGCCTGAAGTTCACATGGGCAGCAACAACAATGGCGAAGACAAACAAGACGGCTGATTGCATAAGGGCAACTCGGATCGCTCACAAAAAGCGTCAGCGAGATAAAAAAGCGTCGACCGCCGCGCAGCCGCTTCAATTGATCACGCGTCGTTGTGCCAGTCCAAGCCAAAAGACCAGCTTCGTCATCAACCAACACAGTTGAACTTGAAGTTTTTACAAGATATAATAATTTTAAAAACACCAAATAAACCTGTGCTTATTTCCAAAACAGATATAATCAATTAAAAAGTTTCCTTAAAATAGCATTAAAGACAACATGCAAATCATAGTAAGTGATAGAGTGTGATGGATTTTAATTAGACAAGAAGCAACGGAAGTTTTTTTAACGAAGTGTTTAAGAAGTGAATTTAACAAATTAAAAAAAAGAGAAAACAGTAAACAAAAGATATCTCCTTTTGGGTTTATAAAAAAAATGAAATAAAATGTTTAAGGCACATCTTTACTTTATAATAAACTTGTGAATAAAAACATCTTTATAAAAAATCGAACTAACAAAAATAGGTTGTTTAACATTTTTTTGATAATGTTTTAATTTATTAACTTTAATATTAATATTTATTTATAAATTTCAGCGTTCAAGTGTTCTTCTTTTCGTGGGAGTATGCTTCTTATTCCTCGTGCAAAATGCCTCAGCCGGAAAAATTAAATTGCTGGCCTTTAAGGGACCCCGTGCCGGATTTGTGGGTCTGAAGGTTCGCACACCCAAGTTGCTGGGCCTGAAGAGCGGATTGGTGGGTGGAGCAGCTGGATTTGGACTCGGAGCAGCCGTGGGCGCTAAACTGGGCGCCGGATTAGCCAGTCATGCCGGTGGAGGCGGCCATGGAGGTGGTTACGGAGGAGGTTATGGCGGAGGATTCGGCGGAGGACACGGCGGAGGATATGGAGGCGGCTATGGCGGTGGCTTCGGAAGAAGTAGCGGCTACGAACACCACGAACACCACGAATATCACCAGGAAAGCCATCACAGTGAAGGATCTGAATTTGGCGGTGGAAATATCGGTTCCTGGGGAAAATAGGTCTTTAATAATGTTATTAGTTAATATTCATTTCCTTGCCATCACAATGAAACATTATTGTTACTTAGTTATAATTCATTTGCCCATTTACCTAATTAAATAAGTAATAAAAATGTTCCCTGCAGTATGAACCCGTTTTTAGTTTTTGAATCAAGGCGCCTTGTGTTCTTCCTCTTTCATAAAAATGATTTATATTTTTCCCCATCTGGTAGCGTTGAGATATTTTAAATTATGGTTTGCGTCTAAAATAGTAATGTCTAATTTAATTTTTCGCAAAAATATGTGATGTAAATGCGAAAATTGGTCAAAAAATAACTTTTCATTTAAGTGATGGCGATCGTTAGCATATTTAGCAAGCTGTTCAAAACAGGCGGTCTTTTAGCTGTAGGCCTTAATTTGGCTGAGCTACGATGGAAAAACCGGAAAAAAATGCCGAATTTTTGACAAAAATTTGAATTTTGTATTTTTGACAAAATTTTTAACCCTTCTTTGGTAATAAAAAATCAGTTTTTTGGCTGCCATAACAAAAATATAAGTCAGAATGAGGAATGTCATACCTCGTTGAGCTCGTTGTTTAATTTCCAACCAATTGGCATTTCAACCTAAAAATTTTTATTTTTTGCCATTTTTCGAAAAAAAAGTGATGTAACCCCTACAAAAATTGAGAAAATTGGTCAAAAAATAAATTTTCCTAAAAGTGATGAGGATCGTTAGCATATTTAGCAAGCTGTTCAAAACAGGCGGTCTTTTAGCTGTAGGCCTTGATTTGGCTGAGCTACGATGGAAAAACCGAAAAAAAATGTCGAATTTTTGACAAAAATCTGAATTTTGTATTTTTGACAAAATTTTTATCCCTTCTTTGGTAATAAAAAATCAGTTTTTTGGCTGCCATAACAAAAATATAAGTCAGAATGAGGAATGTCATACCTCGTTGAGCTCGTTGTTTAATTTCCAACCGATTGGCATTTCAACCTAAAAATTTTTATTTTTTGCCATTTTTCGAAAAAAAAGTGATGTAACCCCTACAAAAATTGAGAAAATTGGTCAAAAAATAAATTTTCCTAAAAGTGATGAGGATCGTTAGCATATTTAGCAAGCTGTTCAAAACAGGCGGTCTTTTAGCTGTAGGCCTTGATTTGGCTGAGCTACGATGGAAAAACCGAAAAAAAATGTCGAATTTTTGACAAAAATCTGAATTTTGTATTTTTGACAAAAATGTTAACCCTTTTTTCGCCATAAAAATTCAGTTTTTTGGCTGCCATAACAAAAATATAAGTCAGAATGAGGAATGTCATACCTCGTTGAGCTCGTTGCTTAATTTTAAATCGTTTGGCAATTTAACCTGAAAATTTTTAATTTTTGCCATTTTTCGAAAAAAAGTGATGTAACCCCTACAAAAATTGAGAAAATTGGTCAAAAAATAAATTTTCCAAAAAGTGATGAGGATCGTTAGCATATTTAGCAAGCTGTTCAAAACAGTCGGTCTTTTAGCTGTAGGCCTTGATTTGGCTAAACTACGATGGAAAAACCGAAAAAAAATGTCGAACTTTTGACAAAAATCTGAATTTTGTATTTTTGACAAAAATTTTAACCATTTTTTCAGTTGTTTGGCTGCCATAACAAAAATATAAGTCAGAATGAGGGATGTCATACCTCGTTGAGCTCGTTGTTTAATTTCCAATCGATTGGCATTTCAACCTAAAAATTTTTAATTTTTGCCATTTTTCGCATAAAAGTGATATATATCGCTAACAGCAAATAATAAATAACTATATATTTATTTACATAACGAATATCGCTGAGAGAAAATCGAGCTCCAGTTTCCTAACCCAACTCCCTAGGGGGCGCTCCTCTCTCAAATCCAGTTTCCCCTTTCCACCACATTGGCGCGATCAAATGTTGGATTCCACCGACTTTCTAACAGAAAGTTGAGATGTAACGTTTTCTAAACGCGGCAGAATTTTTCTCTGTTAATAAACGTTACAACTTAACATTTTCTGTTCTAACAGAGAAAATTTCTGCCGCTGTAAGAAAACGTAACATCTTAACATTTCTGTTAGAAAATCAGAATAATTTGCCAGTGGCAACGCTTGGTTCTTTTAATTTTTAACATTTTGGTTTGGGTCCAGATAAGCTGGTGCGTGTCTTTGCTTTTTAATACTATTTCTGATTTGGTGTTTAACTGATGCAAAACGCCACCTAGCTGTGGTGTTCGAGTACTAATCGGAAATAAATTCAAATATAGGTGGCGCTTCTTCTTTTTTTTGCCAAGGGGCTTCTTTTTTACTTTTAAGCGAGTTTCTTTAATATGCTTTGTGAAAAGTAGTAATGTCTAGTTAAGGAAAATAAAAAATAATTCATTTAATAGGTGGGAAAAAAAATAGTACGCTGGGCTCAACCGGGATTTGAACCCGGGACCTCTCGCACCCAAAGCGAGAATCATACCCCTAGACCATTGAGCCTCATGCTCAGACGGCCGCTGTTTGCCACTTTCGAGCCAGCCACAGCGAAATTATCTAGGGCACGAACCGCGTTAAAAGTGAAAAGAAACGAACTGTCTTCTCAGACGAAAATAAATCATCAACGCGATCCGATTCAACTTAGATAAATATATTTATTTAACAAAAGAAACCTTAATAATATTATCAGCGTCTCTTGAAGATGCCACCGCCAAAGCCGCCGTAACCCCCGCCAAAAGAACTGGCTGAGCTAAAGGAGGAGGCAGAGGCAAAGTTCTGGTAGCCACCGAAACCTCCTCCATAACCTCCTCCATAGCCACCGCCGAATCCACCGAGACCTCCGAATCCGCCCTTCCAGCCGCGCTTAATGGGAACCACCACTGGCTGGGGCACTGCGACTGGAATGGGTTGAGGAATGGCCACGGGAACTGGGACAGGCTGGGGCACTGGGATGGGCTGGGCCACCGGATAGGGGACAAAGTTTGTATAGACAGGTGCATAGCCTCCTCCGATCTTTCCACCAAAACCATGGGATTCGCCAAGTCCCAGGCAAAGCAGCAGGCTCAGCGCCAGAATCGTTATCTGCAAAGGGAAAAACCCTTGCCAACCAAGGTTCAGATATGAATGTAACACTCCACTCACCTTGTTTTGCCCCATGTTGTCGGTTCGGTCTAAGCGGTTCCAAGTTAAGAACGGCCGTATTTATAGCAACCTCCAGCACTTCCTGTACTTCCTTTTCTCGCCGAGTTCAAAGAACTTCCACAAACTTGATCCACAACAACCAGTTTCGCGAATCTATCGATTTTTATTGTGCCAAAACTTAGTCGCAGCAACTAACAGCGAAATTTAACAAATCGTGAGAAAAACACTGAATTCGGTTAATTTCGATGGGGTGAAGGTCGTCTATCTGATGTGTTCCGGGACAATGTGGGCGTAGGTTTTTAGAACATTTGGTATAAAAACTGAAACAATCGATGGATAGGCAAGTCAGTCAAGTTCAAGACGATACAGAAACATGGTCAAGATTAGCTGTTCGGTGAGTGGTGGCAGATCATCCCAATGATCGGATGTTTCCTAATGGCTTTGTTTACCATTTCATCAGCTGGTGGTGCTCCTCTCGCTCTGCGCCTGCTCCTATGCTCAGTATGAGTACCCACAGCAGCGTCCCTCGCCGCCAATTGAAGGTCGGCCAACTGGTGGACCGGTAGACAATCGAATCCTTGGAAACCTTCTTGGAGGAGGACTTCTTGGAGGCGGCGGCGGTGGTGGTGGAGGTCTCTTTAGCAACCTGTTTGGCGGTCTTTTGGGCGGCAATCGTCCACCACCACAACCAGTACCGCAGCCCTATCCCGTTCCAGTTCCCGCCTATGGTGGTGGCGGATTCGGAGGTGGATTCCCCGGTGGATTTGGAGGTGGTTATGCGGGAGGTGTTCCTGGTGGCTTCCCCGGAGGCTTCGGTGGCGGCTTTGGCAACCCCTACGGCGGATATTATGGCTAAGACCATCTGTTGTTGGACCCCTCCAAGTATTATTTGATTTTTAAGTTGTTGACATTGACCATTAAATTAAAATTCATGTAAAAAACACGTGTCCGGCTTGTTTTAATTTTGGCTGCCGTTTTAGCACAAGGGGATGTAGCTCAGATGGTAGAGCGCTCGCTTAGCATGTGAGAGGTACGGGGATCGATGCCCCGCATCTCCAACTGGAATTCTTTTTGCAAGAAATTCCTTTACTAAAGGGTTTTAAAATTGTTTTAGTTCCTTAGCGGCCACATCCGCAGTTATCATCCACTGTTGATTAAATAATCGAACTAGATGAAAGCAGCTTCATGGATCTTTCAAAAGAGCTAAGTATATATGTACAATTCCATAGAAATATCCGTTAAACGTCAATGTTAATAGGTTTCTTTTAATTTATTGTTTTTTTTGATTATTTGCAAATCTATTTTTGCCTTTTTTCACATTCCCATAGTTGCAGAAACTTAATTCTGCAAATAGTTTCTCTGCGCTTAAGCGGCTCAATGGTCTAGGGGTATGATTCTCGCTTTGGGTGCGAGAGGTCCCGGGTTCAAATCCCGGTTGAGCCCGTTCGAAATTTTTTTTCAACTTAAAATTATACATACTTAATTAATTTGCATTTTAAGTTACTTAAAAAAAATAAATTAATAAAAAGAAAAGAAAAAATAATTTTCAACTGGAGATGCGGGGCATCGATCCCCGTACCTCTCACATGCTAAGCGAGCGCTCTACCATCTGAGCTACATCCCCGTTGTGCCATGACGTGTCAAAAAACCTATTTCTGCGTCATCAAGGTCGAATTTACCTTTGTTTCGGACAATTTAATTTGCTGATTGGCAACGCACAACTTGTTTCTTGGCCAAGATATCTGGTTTCAACCTTGAGTGCTTGAAAACCGATAAGATACGAAGTGAGCAAATGCGGGCGCTTTGGAACAAACTTCTGCATTTAATTTCCGTTTCCGGTCAGTGAAAGTGGCCCGAAAGAAAGCACAAACACCTGGCAAGTGAGTCAGGGTGTCTGCTTCTACTTGTTGTCCCGGCACAAACACAAATAAACTCCGGGACAAATGCATATGAAGGGTCAGAGAACGCCTTAACATATGGGAAGGCAGATTCCGGTGGCCAGCTTCAGATACCCGGTCACTATCTGCACTTTCACACTTGTGTTTATTCAACTGTCGCTCGGTTGTTTGCCTCTGCCACGCCCTTGGGCATGGGCAAAGCTCTATTATTATTTTCGCAAGTTATATAAAAATAATAACAGGAGCGGACACGGACACGGAGCTGACCAGGCCAATGGATGGCCATCCATTATGCTGCCGGGCATTTATTTGCCAAACAATTGAATACATACCACCCCGGCTCCTTGGGCAGCTTGCAACCAACCAACCAACCACTTCATCAGCCATCCTCTTCTGCAGCTATCTTATGGTTTATGATGGAATCAAAACAAATGCCGGAGCATCGTGGCTTCAGCTTCTGGAACCTCGAGTATGATGATGGTGATGATGGGTTTGTTTATGCAGATTGCTTGTGGAGTTTTTCCTTTGGCGTTAATGGATAACTGGACGTGTGAGTGGGTGCGTGGGTAACCCTTTTTGGGGATTTTTCAGCAAGCTGAGCCACTTTCGAAATCTAGTTGGTAATGTAAACAAGATGATTTTAATTGCACAGCTGAATGGGTTTCGTTTAATTTTATTGATACGAGAGTTAGAGGAGATATTACATTTTCTTTTTAGCCTCTCTATATTTAATTTGTTATAACATTTGTTGATCCACTAATCTTAGTTTGCTCTTAAAGTTGTAAAAAATGTTGAGCAAAAGTTTTGGTTTGATATTTTATCTCCTTTTATTTAATTTTATTTTTTTGAAGCACACATTTCAATTAAAATTGTATTGTTTTCTTTTACTTTGTGTGCCCTGTTTACTTAGGCGAGCGTTTCCTCCGGCTCCTGAGTTTTCCTGTTCATCCCAGCTGAGGCAAGGGTATTGGAAATGGTCCTGGCCGTTGACCAGATCCTGCTCCTGGTCCAGGAAATCCGCTAGCACTGGCCGTTACCGTGTTTATTGTGGAAGGTGGCGTCATTCCGGGAGGCGGAAGAGGCAGGGGCGTGGCTGCTCCAAGTGGCGACACACCACCGATGTATCCATAACCCAGGGGACCTCCAGCTGAAGCTGAGTTCTGATCACTCTGGTAGATATAGACGTTGCTGTTTCCCTGAGCCTGCTGCTGATTCAGAGGCATAGTGTAGAATCCCGCTGGAGTGGCATAGAAACCAGGCTGCGGACCAATGGCCGCCGGATTGCAGCCGTAGACGGGACAATTGTAATAGCCAGTTATGGGATAGGCGGGGCCAGCAAACATCGGATCCGGATTGTGATAGGCCATCCAGCGATTGCGCCAGCGGCGGAACAAAGTTCCCAGAAAGTAGAAAGATCGCCCATCGATGGGCTCTGGTCTGAAATGCTGATCCTCTCCATCCATATCCATTTCGATCTCCTCCGATCCACCGCTATTGACCAGGATCAGCAGAAACACAAACTGGAGCACTGACATTTTACCAACTGCATCAATTGAAGTCGCTCGGTGAACTACTCTTAATCCCATCTCATCTCGAAGTTGTCCCATCAAGACAGGCTGCCTAATGGGCCTTGTAATAAGTATTAGAGTGCTGTAACTTCACTAGAGTCAACAAACCATGAAATTTTATTAATTTTATATGCTATCAAGGTTGCCCTGGTTACCTATGGAAATCTTTTCAGATTCAACAAACTCATTTGTATCTGTACTTCTGAGATTGAAAGAAATGGTATAATTTGGAATAGAAGAAAAAACATTTCCAAGAAATAAAGAAATATTATTTGCATTTGGTTTTCGTTACATAAAATGTTATAAAATCAAAGGAAATATTATATTTTTCATCATTGTGCCTTTTCTATTTTGCAGATATATAAATTCTTAAAATATTTTTCTAAATTTAAAAAAAGAAAACTAGATTAATCGGATTTTAACGCACTATCTATCCATTGATACGTAGGCTCCAAAATAGTCAGCGCCGCTCACATCGGGGATGTAGCTCAGATGGTAGAGCGCTCGCTTAGCATGTGAGAGGTACGGGGATCGATGCCCCGCATCTCCAGAAGGATTTTTTTTTTACATTAAAATTCTTTTATAATCGCAGAATGTGGAAGAACTATGCCTCAGGTATTTTAAGTAACCATTTTTTACCAGTTCCCCTTTTTAACCAAACCGCACGTGGCAGCAATTTTTCATTATTAAATATAAGGAAAAACTTCAAGTTTTCGACTTTCGTTGCTTGATTTTATTTTGCTACATTACATGCGAACAACAAAAACGTTTTGAGTTATGAGTTCTGCGTGCCAGGTGTACTAACAATATAAGAATTTGTCGATTATGCGACACACAATTACCCTGTAATGCCCTGCCGCCAAAGGATTCGCCAATCATAAAATCAGGAAAAGCACAACCTACAGAGCACAACCCGTATACCCCTCATTTACCTGGAGGCCTGCGAGTAAAGTGTGCAAAAAACAGGTGACAACAATCAGTAAGAGGTGAAAGGGGGAGAAAGTGCCCGTCCGTGTCTGGAAAAACAAAAACAAGAACCCACAAGGGCTGTGAAAATTCACGCGCCCGTGAAAATTTCGCACGTTTTTATGGACCATGAACTTCGTACACCCCATTCCCCACAATATGCAGACATCCTTTCCAAAATTTGAGTAATGGCCACATAGATTAGCTGGCGACCATTTGATTTCTCCCAAACCCGAAATTCATTTAATTAAAAAAATACGCAAAGTCAACAGAAACAGAAACTACAAACGAAATTAGATTCGCCCGAGAGGAACTTTCCATAAACTTTGTTGCCATCAAAACAATAAAAACCGCAATCCTCGGCCGGACTTTGCCTTTGTTATCGAGGCTCGAAGCGGACAATGGAGTGTCCTTTTTTACGACAAAGCCAAATCCGGCGGAACCACATAAATTATGTTAATGCCTAAGCTATGCACACGCCCACTGAACGTCCAGCTACTCCGGCTGGACTTTCTCCTGTCCGTCCGGGATAATCAGAAAAATACACAGCACACATCGGTTGGACAAGGGACATTTGCTTAGTGGTTTTGGGCGATAGTTTTGGGGCTGTCCATTGAGAAAATTGCTGACAATTGCTAAAAACCTCGGGTGACGATGAGGTCTGCAGCAGCGTTTTTTTGGGGTGGGCGTTAGAGCATTGCAAATGATATATGTTGGAACACATGTCTGGGCAAATATTGGGGGGCTATTTTTGTGGAGATTGCCTAACTTTGAGATCATCAAATGAGGGCCATCCCAGCAAATTTCGTATCCGATAAGTGAAATCCAACAGATATTAATGCTCGGGAGGAAATTAGAAGAGGACATTGCTGTATCCGATTTACAAACAAAAAGGACGCTGTAAATTAAATTCATAAAAATGATATAGCATTGTTTGGCCTGTCAGAAGTTTGTTTTTCCCCATTGTTACATAATTATATGCCCCGGAGTTATCGGTGGGCTTGAGTGCGTTTGTGTATTAAAAATCAAAAAAAAAAAAAAAGCAAGATAAGCCAGAGGCGAGTGCATGTAAATAAATTGAAACAAATAAGCTGACTGCTGGCTGTCGGCTAATTGCAGGGAGTGCCCCTTTATCGCGAAAAGCGAGTGAAATTGAAAAGCCTTTCGTTCCATTTGCAAGGCAAATATGGTCCTCTCCTTTTTTCACCTTGCGGTGGACAACATCGCAACATGCTGTCGAACATTTCCGCCGGACTGTTTCCGTTATGCAACGCCGTTGCAAGGACAACAACAGGTGGACAGAATGGGGCTGGTGATTCTGAAAACCTGGCCACTGTTTACGCAGACCAAACTTTTTGTCAGCTGTCATCGGGGCAGACGTACAAAAGAAAAACGAGAGTTTTCCCTTTATTCCGATCCCAACAAATCGCAGGCTCCAAGACTGACAGCTGCAACGCATTGCACTGGATGTGTGGCAAGGAAAAAAAGAAAAAAAATATACATCCACACGAATTGTGCTCGAAGGCCCCGGCGAGATTCGAACTCACGATCTCCTGTTTACTAGACAGGCGCTTTAACCAACTAAGCCACGGCGCCACTTGGGTTACGGCCGAAAATTTCGAAACTTCAGTGGTGCGAAATTTTTTTTTATATCTCTTAGGTCACAAAAAATACTTAAATAGTTTCGGGTACAAAATTAATTTTAGTATATATGTTACTCAATTAAAAAATTATAATTAAAGATCAATTAATTTGAAGCTCATTAAAAAAAATTATACACACTTCTATATTGTGTAGGCCCCGGCGAGATTCGAACTCACGATCTCCTGTTTACTAGACAGGCGCTTTAACCAACTAAGCCACGGCGCCATATGATTTCTGCGGGACCAATGAATGATAATTGCCTTGCCCAATTTAAAATTAAATTGTGGTCTAATGATCTAAATTTTAGAATCTAAAATGGATGAATGGACCAAATGAAACTTAATAATAACAAATTGGAAAATCTAAGAATATTCGTGGTACTTACTACAGAAATTATAACTCAAAATTCTTTAAAACGTAGAAGTTATGAGTTCATAAAGATAAAATTTATCAGTTCTCTGAATGTGAAGAACCAAAGATATACTTATAAGTAGAATGGGGAGTCCCGCTCAATTTATTCATACTTGCTTAAGGGGAACAACAAATGCAATATAGCTGTGTATCATGGGCTGATTAAGAGATGGACAAAGAAAACTTTAGGGGAATGCACCAAAAATGCGTGGGGTTCTTTTATAACAATAGGCATTTGACTATAAAAGCGACTGTCGGGCATTTGGATTCATTCAAAATACAAAGTACAGTCGAAGAAGTAAGGTAAAATCTAGAAATCATCTAAAATGGATTGCCAGGCGACAGGAAACCCAAAGACCGGAGAGGCAACGGCCCGTTTCGGAGTGATGGTGGGCGATGATCTGGCCAATGCTAAGGCCGGAGTCTTCGCATCCACTCCTGGTCCTAAGGGACCCGTCACCAAGGGAGTTTATGGAGCAGTTAACGCGTAAGTGAACCCTTTTACAGAGCACTATCATTTTTTTTTAAAGTAAATAATTTAAAAAAATAATCTTTTAAAAAATACTAAATAATATTTTATCATCGATTCTTCCCATTCCTCAGAAACGGACATGGGCTCTCGCTGCAGCACGGACACATTGCGGGAGTGGGCAGCACCACCACAGCCGCAGCCCAGGCCAATCTTCACCAGAACCAGAACACCTCGCTAAACGCCACTGGCTTCCACAGCCACAGCCGAACCCACGATCAGTTTGGAGGCGGGCTCAATTTGCAGACAGCAACGGGTCACCAGGCGGCCGTGGGGGTCACCAGGGTTCCACAATTCGATATGACTACCATCCAGACTTCAGGCAGAGCCAACCTGTACACCTCCCCCAGTGGCAACCTCAACCTCAATGCCACCGGAAGTGCCAATCATCACTTGAGCGGACCGAGGCGTGGCAAATCCGACTTTGGTACCGGACTCAACTTGCGATATGATTTCTAGTTTTTGTTCTTATAAAATGTCATTCAAAAGAGTTTTCCTGCCTCATATTTGATTTCAATGTTAAAATGCGTAAAACAATTTTTAAAGAATAAATGAATTATACTTTTTTTAAAGTTATCAAAATACAATCTATGTTTTTGAGTTTTCTTTGAGGAAATTTCAAAATTGTATTGTTTGATTGAAGAGTTTTTAATAGTTTATTAAACATTTTAATAAACTTGGGTCTAAGGCCTACAAATTTGAGTACGAGTGTTTAGTTTAAATTTGAATAAAATAAAAAGAGTTTAATTTCTTGTTAAACAAAGTCAATAATGATTTTGCTGCTCTTCTGCAAATAGATTCCTTTTTTGCAAAAAGCTATACCATTCAAACGCTCAAACTGCTGTCAATGTGCGCATCGATTTCGCATAATTCATCAAGCGAAATTCCCACAACAACGAGCCCACTTGGGGGAAATCCTTTGGAGTACGGAAAACCATCCACAGATGAACATAGCCTATGGAAAACCAATTTTTGACTAGTCAGCTTTTTTCGATTTTTTTTGTAAGCCAATGTGTGCAGGCACCGCAACCGTTAAGTGCCATAAAAATAATTCAAAATAAATTGCTTTACATAAAAATTTGGTTTCGGCAAAGACGCGCAACTGTTTTATAAGGTGTATAATTTGGCCATAATAATGCGCATCATGGCAGCAACCATCGCGGGGTTGGTTATTAATTCTCGGTCGACGCTTCGTCGAGGCCGAGACATAAATAACGCGTTTTATGCGTGAATATACTTTGCATTTTTCGCAGACACCGAGGAGTCCTAGTTAAGCCGTAAAAATTACACCAACCAGTCAAGAAGCCATGACTTTGACTTTCTGGAAGGACTGGAAGGCAAGTCATGTCAGCTGGCCTAATCCCCAGGTAGATATCCGCCTTGATTGGCCGCAATGAAAGATGCCAAGTCAATATTT